CGCGGCCTGCCGGGCCCGTTCTAGCCGCCCGTTTCCCGCGGGGAGCCGCCGTTGCGCGGCCTGCCGGGCCCGTTCTAGCCGCCCGTTTCCCGCGGCGAGCCGCCGTTGCGCGGCCTGCCGGGCCCGTTCTAACCGCCCGTTTCCCGCGGGGAGCCGCCGTTGCGCCTCCTTTCCGTGGCACTCCCCTCTTCGCGCGGACCGGGGGGCTGCTGGGCCTGGCCCCCCGGTTCACCGCGGGGGCGGATCGCTTCCGTTACCGTGAGGGTTAACCGGTTAAGTAAGTACAGTATAGAGACTAAGTAATAACCCCCCGAAGTTTTTTTTTTTTTTTTTTTGGAAAAAAAACCCAGGATCTGTACTATCTGATAAGAACAGTTACATTTTTTCCCCTCAGGGTGTGCAGCCTGGGAGGGAGGCTTTCCCTTTGCTTCCCTAACATGTTCCTTGTGGCAGAATGATAAAAATATTAATAGAAACAAATCCACTTGTTTTGTTTTGCGTTTGCTTTGATGTATTGTGTTTGTCAATAAGGATTGCTCTGGAATGGTGGTAGCTACAGTGGTTGACACTTACGGGGATGTATTCTACATTCAGTGTGGGAAATCTGGAAAATATGTTGCTTAGAAATGCTTATTATTTTACAGTAGATTCTTGTAGAGAAAAACTTGCAGACTGTTAGCCTAGAGCTGAGCTCTTAGGTATTTTAAAAAGCAGTCTGAGCTGCAAACCCACCTGTGTTGTAGGAATGCAGAGCAGCAGCTTCATTATCCTTGTACAGACCCTTATAATGACTTAGTGCTTTTTTGTGTGTATGTTCCTGGGTGTAGTTTGGTTTAATGAATTCCAGTAATACTCTTGTCCTGCTGGAAAGGACTGAGACGATGTAGCTTGAGCTCAGAGTTTGTGATTTAGGTCCTGGAGAACAGGGGAGGTGCTTGAGGACTGGAAGAAAGCCAAAGTCACTCCGGTCTTCAAAGAGGGCAAGAAGGAGGACCCGGGTAATTACAGGCCAGCGAGCCTCGCCTCCGTCCCCGGAAAAGTGATGGAACAGCTGATCCTAGCTGCTGTCTCCAGACACGTGGAGGAGAAGAAGGTGCTCAGGAGTAGCCAGCATGGATTCACCAAGGGGAAATCCTGCTTGACTAACCTGATGGCCTTTTATGAAGGAGTGACTAGTTGGATAGATGAGGGCAGAGCAGAGGATGTCATCTATTTGGACTTGAGCAAGGCTTTTGACACTGTCCCTCACAACATTCCCCTGAGCAAGGTTCGGAAGTGTGGGATAGATGAGTGGACAGTGAGGGGGATTAGGATTTGGCTCAATGGCAGGGTGCAGAGAGTGGTAGTCAGTGGCACGGAGTCTAGTTGGAGGCCAGTACTTAGTGGTGTCCCCCAGGGATCAGTCCTCGGTCCGGTCCTGTTCAACTTATTCATTAACGACCTGGATGAAGGGCTGGAGTGCTCCCTCAGCAAGTTTGCCGAGGATACCAAACTGGGTGGAGTAGCTGATAGCCCTGAGGGCTGTGCTGCCATCCAGAGGGACCTGGACAGACTGGACGACTGGGTGGTGAGAAACCTCATGAAGTTCATCAAGGGCAAGTGCAGGGTCCTGCACTTGGGGAGGAATAACCCTGGGCACCAGTACAGATTAGGGGTGGACCTGCTGGAGAGCAGCCCCGCAGAGAGGGACCTGGGCGTCATGGTGGACGACAAATTGACCATGAGGCAGCAGTGTGCCCTGGTGGCCAAGAAGGCCAACGGGATCCTGGGGTGCATTAAGAAGAGAGTCTCCAGCAGATGGAGAGAGGGGATCGTCCCCCTCTACACAGCCCTGGGGAGGCCACATCTGGAGACTGTGTCCAGTTCTGGGCTCCCCAGGACAAGAGGGATGTGGAGCTGCTGGAGAGAGCCCAGCGCAGGGCTACGAGGATGATCAGGGGCCTGGAACATCTGCCCTGTGAGCAAAGGCTGAGGGAGCTGGGCCTGTTCAGCCTGGAGAAGAGGAGGCTGAGGGGGGACCTGATCAGTGTCTATAGATACCTCAAGGGAGGCAGTGAGGAGGAGGGGGGCGGCCTCTTTTCTGTGGTGGCCAGTGATAGGACTAGAGGAAACGGCCACAAGCTGAGGCACCAAAAGTTCCCCAGGAACTTAAGGAAACATTTCTTGATAGTGAGGGTGCCAGAGCCCTGGAACAGGCTGCCCAGAGAGGGTGTGGAGTCTCCTTCTCTGGAGATCTTCCAAACCCACTTGGATTCTGCCCTGTGCTCTAGGTGATGGTGCTGGAACAGGATGGTTGGACTAGATTATCTCTAGAGGTCCCTTCTAACCTTAAGCCTTCTATGATTCTATGAATTTTTCTTGCAGGACTGTTGGCCAGATGGGTCTGATCTGAGCAAAACCTGGCTTCAAGTGGAAAGGGCCTATAGAGTGTATAGGATGACTGCCTAAATGTAACAAACTGCTGCTTTTATTTCCAGGTATTAAGCTTCGCCCTTATCAAATAGAAGGTGTGAAGTGGCTGGTTCAGTGTTATGAAGTCCAGCATGGCTGCATCCTGGGTGATGAGATGGGTCTAGGAAAAACGTGTCAGGTGTGTGTGTGTTTGTTTTCTTCTGAAAAATCAGCTTTATTCTATTTTTTTGTTTGTTTGGCCAGTATTTCTATAAGATGGGGGGAAAAAAACCTTAATGACTGACCCATTAAGCAACCAAATTCTAAAGTCCTTATTGGAAAGAAAACCTTCTTTCTGTCATTCCTTATTCACTTAAAACTTAGTGGGTTCTGAGTAATGCTCCAAAAGAGCATTTTTTGTTTAAAAAAAAAAAAAGCGATTATTTTAAGGTTTTTTTTTGTGTGTTGAGTTTTTAGATGAACTGTAATATTGTTGGAGAGTGGGTTTTTCTTTAATGTCTTCAATAACAAAGTAATCATTTAAAGTGATGTGTGGCAGCTCTTTTTTTGTGACTGTGGGAGAAAGGGCTTTGGAAAGGGAACTCCAGATGTCAGGGTCACAGTTTTTGGATTTAAACTTCTGTCACTTATTCTGGTATCTTTTGGTATCTTTTTAAGTTCTGCTTTGTGTTGGAGAACCTGTAGGAAGCAGCTACAGAGCTCAAGAGGAGAAAATTTATGTTGCTTTATGCTATTGGATTAAGACCTTTCATAGTCACTAAAAAAGTATCTTCTCTTTGCCTTCTAGACTATTGCTCTACTTGCTTATTTAGCCCAAAAGCTCATGAACAAAGAGACATTTCTGATACTTTGTCCTCTCTCTGTTCTGAGCAACTGGAAGGAAGAATTGGAGAGGTGAGTTTTAGTAGTTGCACAGACCATCATATTCTTGCCCAGCAAGATTCTCTTCTTTTCTGAAAGTTCTCTTCAAATATACTCAATCCAACAACTTTCTTCCTTTGAAAAGAAAAAAGGTGGAAAGAAAAGCTACCAAAACAACAAATCAGTGCTAACCCTTGTAGTTAATGCACAGTCTCTACTATATTCTGGTATATTTAGATTCATCCAAATTCATCCATATGTAGATTCATCTAATTGTAGTATTAGGTGACTTTTGGTGCAAATACGCTGCATTGATTCCATGCTTTTAATTGTTTTATTTTGTAACACTTCGTGCTCAGTCTCTCTTAGGCCATGTCTGCTGAAGACAGCCAGGAATCTATGAAAAGTAAGACCCAAATTGAATGGTGCCTTTCTTTGCATGCTAACAGATGCATGCGAAGTACTGTTACATCCATGCATGTAACCCGTCTTCACTGGGGTGCAGTGACTGTGCTGATAGCACATGCACTGTGCAGAGTGGTTTTTTACTTTTTTTTTATTTTATTTTTTTTTTTTATTTAAGCTGGAGCTCTTAACAGTCCCTTTATGAGGAAGGGCAGGAACTTAAAGATCAGAACAGGTGACTTTCTCTTTGGTTATAGGATGATGCTGTCTCTCAAAACTTCCACTCCAGTTAAGCTCATCCAGTTTAAGTCCTGAAGTGAAAATGTTTGATCTGGGAAACAGATGATGTTATCTTATGTTACCAGATCAAACAGATCTGCTACAGTTGGAATACTAGGAGGAAAGTGCATCAATTAGGGGTACAGATCATCAATGAATGGCTGTCCAGTAGGCAAACAATAGTGATGGGATTAGATGAGGAAGAACTTTGAGTTCTTCTCATAAGTTTTCTTTCAGTGAGCTATTTTTATTTACCTCTTGTGTGTAAGGATAGATTTTTTTTCTTTTTTGAGGCCCTGGTTGGGAACTGTTTGCTGCAGACATCATTACCCTCTGTTAACTGTCTTTCAACCTTTTGTTGTTGTTATCAGCTAGGGCAAGTGTGTGTTCAGTACTCCTCATCGACTTTTCTAGTTCAGAATAGCAGATATACCATGAGATTCGTTTGCAGTCACCTGTCTGTGAGAGCTAGGAGAAAGCAGCATATATGGGACTGGTTCAGACCAGAACAAGCAAATGAGGTGCCAACCTGAGACACAAATCAATCAAGAAGGGGTTAGATTCAAGAGCTGACATCCAGCCACATCTTGCAGGAGGGATAAGGTGCTTGAATAGGAGGTTTTAGTTCAGCCTTGTCTCAGAGCTGTGCACTAACTAGGTTTAATAATTGGGTCCAAGCTCTTAAACTCACAAAAGCCTGAGCTTGGCATTGGTGTTTCATCTCTTTATTTCTCATGACAACAGGTTTGCCCCAGGGCTGCCTTTTGTGACATACATAGGCAACAAGGAGGAACGAGCCAAACTGCAGGGAAACCTGAAAGGACGGTCTCATTACCGTGTGCTTTTAACAACATATGAGGTATGTACATGATAACAGCTACTTGAGAGGAAGGCTCAATTTCCTAGGCTCACTAAGACCATATATTTGTAGCAATGTGTTCATTAAAGCGGAGATTTCTTACTGATGGAAAAAAAGAAAATACCCTATGAGATTTTACTAACAAAGCCACCTAATTCAAACTGTTTTCTTGTTCAGTCACATTGTTGTGCTGCCTTCAGGCAGTTAGGGACTACAGGAAAAGTGTTTTTATAGTTTCTTCTTCTCTCTTCGTTTTTAAAAATTCATTTTTTTCCTCGCCTTTCTCATTCATCTGTGCTGTCTACCTCATGCCTTGTGCTTCTGTACACATCTCTGACCTTCCTCAGTGATTTTCTTCACTGTAACCCACCGTACCCACTCGTCTAACTTACTGCAGATTCTTATTACTTTTTTTTCTTTCTAGTTGACATTTTATTTCTTCTGATTTCCTTGTCCTTTTGCTTTCCCTCCTTTCAAAAGTTTTATTGTCTTCTTCCTTTGGCCTTACTGTAACAAATGGAGGTGCTCACACTGAGGCAAGCCTGAAATTAGCTGTGTCAAGATACTCACTTTGCTAATATTTTCATCGTCTCTCTCATGCCCTTGATAGTAAAAGCCTATGCTTTTTAAAGATCTTTTTCCTAAGCAGCCTAGTGGTTCTTCCTCTTTGAATCTTTGAAACAATGAATTTGAAACAATATGAGTGCTTTAGGATATTATCAGTTCATCTTAATAGTTCAGGTTAATCTACTGAAGCCTCTATTTGCTTTGGGTCAGTATGAGTGTGATGTTGAAGGTGTGTGATATTCCTTACTGAGTGAGAAAAAGGATGTGGAAAAAAGAGGTGAAGAGACTTCGGTGTCTGTCCATTTCTCCTACATCACTCTAGCGTTTAAACTTTTGCTGCTGGTGCTTTGCCAGAGATAAGTTAAAATGTGAAACTACAGCAGCTTGTGATTACAAGAGCTGTCATGTTACTTTCCTTAGATTGTGCCTCATTCCACTGTGCCCCATTTCACCATAGCTTGCAGTAGACAGAAAGATGCTGTGTTTCTTAACTTAAGTCGTAAGTAATGATTCATTTTCTTGGATTACAGATTTGTCTGAAAGATGCAGCATTTCTTAAAGTGTAAGTCTGTTTTTATTTATTTATTTTTTGAAGTTAATTCTGTGGGTCTGTCAGCAGTTTCCTCTGTATATTCTTACGTGTGTGTGAGATCCTGGGCTTCATGGATACTTTTTGTTGTCAATTAGAGCTTTGTATTTACAATTTTTCATTGAGGGCTTCTTAATATCAGTGCCTTTATGTGTGAACTCGAGGGCAGTTTTCTTGCCAGCTGACTCAGAATGAAGTGGTACATAGTGGCTTATAGCACTACATTAAATATCAATGCAGGAGAAAGAAGTGTTTTTCTAAAGCTTCAGACTTTAGAGATATTACATTACAAAATCTGCTGAGCTGAACCTGCTCTATGCTATCGTGATCATATGTTAATACCATATCCTGCAGTTCACGACCTCTTGCTCTCAATCAGAACTGAGGAGAATTTAGGGAACGTACAGAATTTTTTAGAACTGCCAGTGCCTTGTACTAGGATAATGTGACAAACGTTCAGGGCAGCAGCAGCTCCTGAGTGATTCAAGATCTTTGCAGGAACCAAAGTCCAGTAGCAGCTGCTGACGTAAGCTTGGATTTCTCAGTACACTACCAGCCCTTTTGCATTTCAGCAAAGCACCTTTTCTGGGCCGTTGCTGCAAATAGGAGGTTCTGCTAGATGAACATATTGTTGTGGAAGCCAGGCCTTGAGCCTGTAACTATTAAAGCTGAGCCTAGGCAGGCAGTTCTTACAGCATCAAACTATGTCTTGTGGTGCATTTGGGGCCTGGTGGGCTGAACAATCAGGACACAGAACAAAACGAGTCCTGATATCATAGAAATTTCAGCTTCAATGCAATTTTCTAAATGTAAGGGTAGCACATACCTCAGTGATCCCAAATCATAGGATTCTCTCTTTGTTATTCCTTCTGAAAAAGGTGGCTGCTAATCATTTGTACCTTGTCCTGTATGGCTCTTAGAGTACTTTAAAGGTGGGTCATAGTTAACGGATGTCCCACCACCCTCTACAAGCAGTGCAACAAAATTGAGACACAGTAAGGTTTTCTGTTGTTGAATGCACAAAGCATTTAGCACCAACAGTTCCACAAGTTTCACATCATCTGTTCTCTCTCCTACTTCTATTTTCCACGGCAAACCTGCCCCTTTGTCTGCTTAACAGTCTGGAAAGTTTGGGTTATCAGTGTTGCTGTTTGTTTGAGAGCAGTACAAAAGGGATCCTCAAATGGTGGACTCTGATGTGTTTTTATGACTGCTGCAGAAGCAGGGGGCAGGGTCTGCCCAGTTCAGCAGAGCAGGAGATGCACTGCGCTCTGCTCACTGAAGAGCTGAAAAATGAGTTGAACAAGAGTCCTGCTCTCATGTAATGCAAGCTGCAGAGCCTGCAAAATAATGATGGCATTTGGCTGTCCTGCCAATAAAAACCACTTTTAAAGGGCAAAGACTGAAATCAAGGGAAGAGGAAGAGCAGTGCAGGGAGAAAACAGGTCCCTGTGATTCCAGGCTGTTTCTTCCTAGTGGAGTAGAGTTGTGTGGTTAAGAAAAGTAGTGTCACAGTTTGTCTTTCCTGCCTGTCTGTAAGCCAAAATTGACTATGTGGAAATCAGGCTGTGATGTGGGAATTGAAACCCCAGCAATAAGCACACAGACTTGGAGGGAAAGCTGAAAAGATCTGGGAGTTGCATTAAGCCTCATGCATCTGCGAGGTCAACAGTGATTCTGGAGCATAGGCAGGGAGACACCTGCATATGGCTGTGTCAAGCCCAGAACGAGTCAGAACTCCCATCTTGGGTGAGATGCAAAAGATTTGTAGTGACTCAGCTGTTACAGCCACAGGATGTTGAACAGGTAAGGACCTACTTTCACGGGACCTATCTTTCTCCAAAAGATAGTCTTCCTTGGAGGTTGGACTGACCTGGGCTTATGTCATTTTCCCCAATGCAATGAGGGTGGAGAGAGAAGGAACAAAGTAAAGTGAATTTGCTTAGTTTTGCTTTCAGAAAAGCTCTTCCAAACTACCCTTGAGGAGCTATATTTGCTCTCCTAGGCTAATGCTCGGGAATTTTTCTTTTCCCTCATGCGTGCTGGGGTGTGGGACCACCTTGGGTTCAGGCAGGCAGAGTCATGGCTTGTTTCAGTCTTTGTGTACTGACCTGAATGAATTATCTACACCTAACTTAAAATGCTGTTTTGTGTTTGTTCACAGTTTTGACTGGGCTGCCTTGGTTGTAGATGAAGCCCACAGGCTGAAAAATCAGAGCTCTCTGCTTCACAGGACACTTTCTGAGGTAAAAGAACTCAGCCATCTATTAATATCTAGAGACTTTTCTCTCTTCAGTATAGGGTAAGGATTCACTCTTTATCTTTCTGTTTATTTTTAAGCACTGAGTCATACCTAGTTTCCTTCAGATTTGGTGAATAGATTTCTGTGTTCAGTAGCAGATAAATCAAGGCCAATCTTGTTGGCTTTGTGTGGATGTGGACAGTACTTGGTGATTCTCTCTTGTTCTGGCTCGTATGTGTGCTTGACAATTTGAGCAATTTGAGAGAATGACAAATGTGAAGAAACCAGGCACAGCACTGAGTCGCAGCTATGTGACTGAAGTGTCAGAATCTCTCTGACCCAAGGCAATAAAAAGTAACAAAATAAGAGAGGGCCTACAAATCGGGGCAGGTGAGGGAACCCTGGCCTAGTTCACAGGAGCTTAAGTCAAACTATTGATATTACCTTGCTTAATGGAGTCACTTGAGCTCATTGAATTTAGTGGGATTTTCTCAGTTTACCTCATGCTGTCCCAGATTAATAAGTGCCCGTGCACAAATGCATGTGGATCCTTGAATGTCTTGGGATAGAAAATACCTCCTGTCATGGCAGTGAAATGTGGCATAAGATTTGAGGTGGCACCAGCAACAATGAGCTACATACCTTTAAAAAAGCCCTTGACTGCTGCCTGTCCAAACCAGCCAACGTAACGTCTGGAGCGTTTGAATCTTTCTGCAGGCATTTATTTCTGTACGATCTATCAGCTTTAAGGTGGGCGTAGGAGTGGCATGGGTGGACTTGCATATTAAATGACTTTTCATTCCACATGCTTTCACCTGATGGTTTTATTTTGCTGTTGGTTCTTTCAGTTCTCAGTAGGCTTCAATCTGCTGCTCACAGGCACTCCAATCCAGAACAGCCTTGAGGAACTGTACTCCTTACTCAGCCTTATTGACCCTGATATCTTTCCTAGGGAGCAAGTGAAAGAGTTTGTTGAGTATTACCAAGGGGTTGAAAAGGAAAGTGAGCCAGGCAAGTAGTAAACACTGTTGCACTTGATTCAGAACTGTTACTTTGACTAGAAAGCAGGCGTGTTGTCTCCTCTTCGTCTGCCTTTTTAAATGCTGATTAGTTATGAATAAAGCCCTTAAAAGTAATGATCAATTTTCTTAACATAGCTCTTAAAGCCACAGCTGCAAGCATAGAATACTTTTGTTTCTGTTTGTGAAACAAGACTCAAATCATTTAAGTAATTTTGAAATTCTATTTTGAGAGGATAATAATGAAGTTGTTGTATAATTTCCTTACGTTTGATTCAATAACCTCCTTTTCGTTGCCTCTGGATAGCCAAAGAATTGCACAATCTTCTTCAGCCATTTTTGCTTCGAAGAGTCAAGTCCGAGGTGGCAGCAGAACTGCCAAAGAAGGTGGAAGTGGTTCTGTATCACGGAATGTCAGCTCTCCAGAGGAAGTACTACAAGGCCATTTTGATGAAAGATCTAGGTAAGGAGAGGTTTTGAACCCTATAAATTGATTTTAAACCAAAATGAATTCCATTTATAAATCCATGCTCAGTTGGTGTGAAGGAGAAGATGCTTGGGCTGGCACAATGAGCATAAAAAGAACATGCCAAATTCAGTGCTGTGGGCTGCTTAATTAGTGGTTTTAGCTTGTGATAAAATTAGAGGCAAGTGGATCTAAAAGTGAGCTGTTAAGGGGCAGGGAGGGGTCAGGTTTAGAATTCTACTTTGGGCCAGTCTGTAACTCGAAATGTTCGCGCTGGATCTGCCTCGTGTTTTTGTAATCAATCAAAAGGGTTGTACCAGAAGTTTATAAAATCTAGATCTCTAACAAGTTTCCAACAGCAGTGCAGTACTATATAACAAATTAAAAGCCACTGGTGGTAGGTGTGAGCTTCCTAGGCAACTGCCAGACCATATAGACAATATAGGCACAGACTGTTATAACAGCTCATGCCTTGGCACTCATACAAACTAATTATAACAAAACACTCTGATGTGTAAGAGATGAAGTATTTGCATCTCTTGGAATTCTTCCTCTTCTGTACATGCATACCATATGGTTTGCCAGTGCTTACCTTTTTTGCTGTGGTGGTAGAACTGCAGGGGATGGAGACCATTTGTTCTGCTGGTATTAATGTCTGGTGCGTCAAGGAGCCAGTTTAAGATCTGTAAATCACTATTAGAAAACTGCTATTTTGCTGGGATTCCAGAGGTTAAGTGTTTGCCAAGACAGAGTAATTCTCATCAGGGTCTTATTTCTAAACACTTGCTTGAAAAAAAAAATATGTGGGAAAATTTGTTTGGTCAATGAAAGTGGATGCATTAGGCTTGAGACTGGACATTTAAATGCAATTTATGTGTAGATACTCCACGTCAGTGTTAAAGCACCAATATTCCCAGTCACATCTACTGGTGGAGTGTGGACTTTCCTATCCATTTTTTTTTAACCATGCCACTCTGTTCCAGATGCATTTGAAAGTGAAACAGGAAGCAAAATTACACTTCAGAATGTCTTAGTTCAGCTTCGGAAATGTGTTGCCCACCCATATCTTTTCAATGGTAAGAAACTCTCTTTTCTTTTAAATAGGAATAAATCAGTTTTGAGATGCACCCAACGTGTTTCTACAAATGCTTGACAGTGTAATGCTTAGAAGAAACAAGTTTAAAAATAATGTTATACTTAAACTGGAATCAACTGCAAGTTTGTGACCAGTTCCAATGTATGTCAGTTCACTAATGGTGAGGAGGGCTACATGAAGCTGGAGTTTCTTCCTTTAGCTTTCCAATTGTTTTCATGTCAGCCTATTTTTTCACACCTAAGCAGTGAAATCACAATGCTTTGCAAAATACTAGAATGTTCTTTAGAGAGAGAGAAAGAGAAAGAGAGAGAAGGACCATCATTTTTTAAGCCAGCATCCTGGCTGTATTGATCTGCTTGGCAATAATTGTCAGTGCAGACACCCTGAGGTTGCCCATGAAGTTCTTGCTTGTGCAATATTAGAGTTGCTTCTGAGAATCCTTTTTGTTCCAGGTGTTGAGCCAGAGCCCTTTGAGATTGGAGACCATATTGTTGAAGCCAGTGGCAAGCTGTACTTGTTGGATAAACTCCTTTCCTTCTTGTATACTGGGTATGTTGTGTTGGGGTGAGGAAGACTGGATGGAGGTGGCGCAAGGACAAAAGGTAGATGAGGAAGAGGAGCTACTCTGTTGACCACAGCTTGTGCAGATATTCGACACAGTATGAACATTGCCGTAACTAATGCATGTTATTAACTATGCTAAAGCAGTCATTTCAGTGTAAGGGGCTGCATTAGGGATAGTAGATGAACCTCAAATATTTAGAGCGTTGGCAACTGTGGAGCATCTAACCAAGGACTTGGATATTTCTCTCTGGCTCTTGTACGAAGCAAATCAAGCAATAGTTTGCATTCCTGTGCAGTTTCTGCAACAGTGCCTCCTGCATGATACAAATTCTTCCTCCTCTCTTAACTGGGCTGCTATATCCCTCTGTCTGCTTCTTCGAAGACAGAGTTTCTGCAGACCTCGTGCCAGTCTGCTGTGACCAGAGGGATTTTAATTCCTGCTGTACAATACACTGAGTGCTTGCCTCTCTCCCTTGGATATTTCTGCTACCTGTACAGAGCTCTGCAGTTTCTAGACCTCAAAATACCTGTGTTCTGCTCGACAGTGAAGCCTTGTTTAAACACACTGTAAGACAGTCTCTGAGGGCTAGAGCAGAGCCTGGAAGGGAGGAGAGTTGATTTCTCACTCGAGCTCTGCGTACAAGGATGTATGGTCTTTGTAAGTCACTTGCTGGAGGGGAAAATGCTCTTCTAACCAGAGATGCCGAAATTACATTTTCCCAGCAGCGAAGATACTTTGTGTGTGGTTTGAGGACAGTCTGGTGTGTCAGGCTATGTGGTGAGGGAGACCTCCTGATCCACAGTTGAAACTGTGGATCCTTGTGGATCCTTTTAGACAGGACCAGTTGGATCCACACTAGTGCGTGCGCAGTTGGGAGCAATGTTGTGCCACGGCTCTCTGTGACTCTGCACTCCAGATATGACTCCAGATACGGCAGCTCAGGCTGACTGACCCCCTCTGGATGTGGGGTTCAGTGTGCAGTGAGGGAATGGGCAGAAGAGGTCAGGTCTTGCTGCAAAACATGGCCTTGTTAAGCTTTTATAACCCCTTTATGGCTCTCTGGAATGCTAACATAGTATGTTGAAATCTCACTTCCTTCTTCCAGTGGCCATCGTGTCCTACTCTTTTCTCAGATGACTCAGCTGCTTGATATCCTCCAAGACTACATGGACTACAGAGGTACTCTCTGCCTGCTTCGGCAGCTGAGGGCTTCTCCTAGTGATATCTGCCATATGGTCATCCTCTGTTTTTGGGTGATCTGCCCAGAATGGTCAGTGGTTGTAAGAATAAATCCAGGTTTGGTATGTGACAGCAAAGTGCCCTTTTGGTTTCAGAAAAGTTGTATCAGGTTGTCTGGAGGCCCTAAGCTAGTTTCCAGTGACCAGATATGTTAGTACAATGATATTTGAAAACCTGTGCTGAGAAGAACCCTCTGCTGCAGGGACACGTTCTCATCTTTTTTTTCTCCCAGCACGTATCAATTGAAGTAGTTGCACTGGAGACAGCAGGCTTGCTTCAGATCCAGACTGTCCAGCCTTACATGCAAACTGGGTCACATTCATACCAGAAAATGATACATATTTTAAATTTTTTATTAAAAGTTAATGACGTGCTCTAAGCACGTCTGCAAGTGCAGATTGGATCAGACCCGTTTTGGCAAGGTTACCAAAGTGTTTGGGGAATATTTTCATTTGCTTCAGTCCACATGGCTTCATGTCTACTTGGGATTCCTGTGAATGAGGCTTTTATCTTGGCAGAATTAAGCCAAATACCCCATGCTGCTTGCTCTCAGGAAAACACGTGTCAAAGACATTGGAAGTCTGCATGAAGAAGACCCAATGGTTGGCCTGTTAAGGGAGGCCAACAGCCAACACCACATAGTCTGAAATGGGACTATGTGCTAATGTTCTCTGAATTTTCCCAATTTATTTGTGAGCAGTAAATTAAAAGCTAGGAGTCTCTTCTTCAGACTCAGCTAAATTACTCTTTGCTGACAGTGAATCTGGAGGCGTGGGTCTCTGCTTCAGGTTATACCAGATTTAATTGGAAAGGAAGAGTTGAGAGTGATAAAATGGGAATCAAGGCAGAAGGATTTGGTGTAAGAAGATTGAGGAGGGGGGCTGTGGAAAAAGGCATGAGAGCCTAGACAGATTTTCAGAAACATACATGTCTTGTTTGAAAAGGCTACAGCTATGAGCGTCTGGATGGATCAGTTAGGGGTGAAGAGAGACACCTTGCCATCAAGAACTTTGGTCAACAGCCCATCTTCATCTTCCTGTTGAGCACCAGAGCAGGTAAGTCAAGAAAGGAAGAGACAAACAACCCATATTCTGCTTCTGCAGTTCCTGGCAAGATTTCAGGGTGTTCCGAATCCTGCAGACCCTGTTCCCACATGTGGGACTGTAGAGGGAAACGAGACACATCCTGAACTTGGGTCTCAGCTAGGACATCTGGTTTCTGTGCTTTCTCTTCAGCAGTTGATGCCAAGATACTATTTATATTGCAGCTGCTTGAGTTACTTTTTTTTTTTTTTTTTTTTAACCCAAGCCCTGTAATGCCTGTCCTTGTGCCAGGTTGAGCTTAAAAGAAAAAAAAAAAAAATCTCACCAGCATTTCATTTCTGCAAGCAGCAGATTTTAGGCAGGAACTGCATCTCTTTAACTAGGCTAGTGGGATTGATTGTTGAGTTTCCTGAACACAGGTATGCTCTCTAGCTGGCAAAGAGGCTCAGCTGGGAGCCTTTCACTGTTGTGAGGCTGCAGAGAACAGTGTGGGACTGCTGTTTGTGCTTCTCTCCCCCTTGGCTCCTCAGGCAGAATCCGTGTGCTCTACAGTTACAAAGCTCCCCATCTTTTTGCAGGAACAAGCACAGGGCCAGGCTTATGCCTTTTCCAGAGGAAGGACTTGCATTGTTTAATCTTGAGCGTTAAAGTTGAAGTAGTTCTTCCTTTGGACTTCTGGCCAGGCTTTCCTAGAGGAGACTGGCTCCATTGACATTGCCCTGCATTAAAAGGAACAGGTTGGGAGACTGAAGTGCCCGATGCTAAATGGAAGTAGTTTTTCTCTTGCCACCATGCCTGAAGTCTCTCTGTCCATATTATCCAAAACCAGTGTTGCTCTTCTGCATAATGCTAGTTTAGTCAAGACATCTTGTACCAAGCTGGAAATGAGTCTAGTGACAGGATTTTCATCCCCGTTCTGTTACAGGGGTGGATTTTTGGGGGAATGACTGTCTCCGCTTGCAGGGATGCTTTGATTTTAAGAGAAGTGCTTGGCATCATGAGCTGGGAGAAAGGCAGTGCAGGAGGCTCCCCCCTCTTTACGTAGTCACAATGATGTATATTAAAAATATATATATTGTATGTTTTTTCTTTTATTCTGTGAAAGCCCAGTCTCTCTAATCTCAAAAGCTTTAAGCAATAAAAATATCTAGGCTCTGAGTCTTGTCCAGTTAGACCACATGTTTCCCACTGTTCTGGTAGTGTATGTATTAGTTGCTTCCATGCTGCCAAGCCATTCATGACTTGGACAGCCCTTTGTAGCCTCAGTAGACCACCCCTTGCTAGCTGAAGAGTGTGTTGGTGTTCATCGGTTTTGACAAGCAGTCCCCACTGCACCATTTTTTCCTGCATGCTGTCTTCGTTGTTCTCCAGTGCCAGTACAGCTCAGTTTTGAACGACTGTATAAAGTTGGAAGCATGGAGGGATACAGGTGTGAAAGTTTTGCATCCTGTTTTAGGATATCGTGAGACTGATTTGGGCTTGGGAAGTGGATGGAATTTGATGCAGTTGATCAGGTCAGACAGAAGCTTGCACAGCATAAGTTCTCTAGGTGCTCCTTTGTTTTATACTGGCGATATATTTTGTGACCTTTCTTTTTAGGTGGAGTTGGCATGAACCTGACAGCAGCAGATACAGTTATTTTTACCGATAGCGATTTTAATCCCCAAAATGACCTGCAGGCAATAGCAAGAGCTCACCGAATTGGCCAGCACAAGTAAGAAACACTGGTATTTCTGGTTTGGTTGCTGACCTTTTTGAAGCCTTTGAAAAGGTTATTTTCACACAGAATCACAGAATGGTTGAGGTTGGAAGGGACCTCTAGGGATCATCTAGTCCAACCCCTCTGCTGCAGCAGGGACACCCAGAGCACGGGGCACAGGGCGGCATCCAGGTGGGGTTGGAAGATCTCCAGAGAAGGAGACTCCACAGCCTCCCTGGGCAGCCTGTCACACTCACAGGAAAGAAGTTTGGTACCAAAGGATTGGATGATGGGTTAGTGCTTGATGCAGGGAAGGAGTTTTAGTGTGCCCTATGCAACATTTAAGAAAGTTGTCATAATTTTCGTTTTTAAGGCCTGTAAAAATTATCCGTTTGATTGGGCGAGATACAGTTGAAGAAATAATCTACCGACGAGCTGCTTCCAAGCTCCGCCTGACAAATGCCATCGTAGAAGGAGGCCAGTTTGCTCTGGGAGTGCCCAAGCCTCGGGAAGCAGCAGAGTTACAGGTAAGATATGGCTGTGCCCTCAGTTTGACTCCAACAGTGTCTCTAGAAATGTTCCCCCCTACATGTATGTCTGACTCGGACCTATTCAAACAGCTGTTTTGGGAGGAGATGTGCGTTATGGATATGATTGCATGTGTCTTAAGAACCAAAATGGCATCTCAGGTCCAGACAAGGTCTGAAACTTGGGGAGACAAGTGTTATAATGTTGGGGCTCATCCACTAATAAGAAGGCTGTGTTACCTGGGAGAGAAAAAAATGCACACCTCTTTTGTGTACTTTTACTTATGACAGGTCTAAAATAGAAGCTGATTCATTGTTTTCTAGGAACTTCTCTTGTTTCTCCATTGCAAGCAGAGCCGGCAGTAGCTGTTCTGCCAACTTTTGTTTGCCAGTCTGAAATTTGGCCAACTTTATGTTGACCTCTTGGTAAACGTAATTTCTCAGGAATCGGGGCATAATATGTAGTTCTGACCTGAAAGTTGAGGTTTCTGGTAAAAGTTTGGGTTTGCAAACCTTACGCAAAGTGAAAGATAGAGGAATATATACCTCACGTGCAGTTAAACCTAGAGGTAGGTTGGAAATTGTATATCTTTCCTCCTAGCCAACATGCGTCTCCACAATGGTGACTTCCATGGGAGAGGTGGAACTGAGCCTATAGGAAATTCCATGCTGATATTTTTCTCTGCGTGGGTTTTTGAGGGATTTAAGCCTTTGTTTTAAAGGAGATGGGTAGGAAGGAAGCCTGGCATTTCTGGCTATCAAGAAAACTGCTTGAATGCAGTTACTGCTACCATGTCATACAGCTAATGGAGAAAAATGGCCATTTAGATCTGGATGAGTGTTGCTGAGCGAGCAACACTCCCTGTAGCTGTCTTTCCCATCAAGTGCTGGGAGATCTAAGTCTGTGAAACAGTAAATGTTTTGACAGATGACATTAAGGATGAGATTGTTTTCCTTGTGTATCCTTTGCCTTTAGGCCTGAGAAGTTCAAGAAACTGGGGTTGAATTAAGAGACGTTAATACTGAACTTTACCCTCTCTTTGAAGCTGAGCGAAATCCTGAAATTTGGCTTGGATAAATTGCTCTCGTCGGAGGGGAGCACCATCCAGGATGTGGAGCTAGAAAACATCCTTGGAGAAACAAAAGGAGGGATGTGGGTAACGGACGTTGTGCTACCCCATGAAGATGAGACTGAAGAGGAGGATACAGAGAGTAAGTTAAGAATCTAAATATCTAACAAAATGCCTGACACTTGGGTGCCAGTAGAAAATGCTTCCCAGAGAGGCATTTTTAAACAGCAAGAAGTAAAGTGGACTTGTAATTTAAGAGGCATCTTGGATATTTTTCTGGCTTATTCGCAAGTTTAGTTTATGAGTCATTATTGTTCTTGTTTGCCTACCTGTAAAATAACAGTTACAATATGTTCCTCATGAGATGGCTAAGGGGCAGAATTCCTCAACATGCACCAAATATTTTGAGACCTCGGATGAAATTCATGAGAAATGGGAGTAAAGTCAATCTGCAACTACTGTTATTCCCAAACAGAACTGTTAAAATGGAACTACAGTTTTAGATATAATAGTAACTTAGGGAAAGACTGTATAGCAGATGCTCTGTATTTGTCTCCGAACAAAAGATTATTGGCCATGAAAATTACCAGTTAAAGTGGTCTTAAAGAATTCTGTTATGTGAGATAAGAAGCACAGAGTCAAGAAATCTAAACAAAACCAACAACTCTACTCGTCTTGAACCCTCCACCTTCCGATCAAAATGTCACACAACTATGGTGAAGCCTTTGTAGTTTTGTGTTGCATGAGAGTAAATATCAAAGGATATTTTTCCCCTTCCAGAGTCCGGATAAGAAAAACTCAATTTCCATCTTGAATACCTCATCGGCCTAACTGTAGATCTGTGACTGAAATGGAAATATGGCCTTGCAGGATAGATGTTGTGTGTCCTTCCAGCACAAGTAATTCTTAGCTAGCAGTTAGCAGAAAGTGGTATTTTCTGATGATAATTTAAAGTAGAGCAGAGGTGTCACGCTGTGTAATAGCTGTTGGGAAAATAGCTGACCTGATGAGCAGTGACTCTATATTTCCAGAGTTCTGAGCTTTTATTTTTGTTTGGGAGCTCCAAACAAAAGGTGTGCTACCCATTTACAAACGTAACCCTGCAAATGGACAGTAAAGGTAGAGGGATCAACTGCTGGCAGCAGTGGAGTTACCAAAGAGAATGGGGTTAGAGCCACAACTTGAAACAGTTAATGGACTGAAGCAAGCAAAAGCAAAATGATTTCAGCATGTGTGTTAGGTGTTAGCAGTTTTCAGTGTCTATTTACCCTTTTTAATTATTATTATTTTTTTTTTTTAAGATCACATGTACCTATATGAAGGTAAAGATTATTCAAAAGAACCCAGCAGAGAAGACAAAGAAGCCTTTGATCAGCTTTGGGATCATCAGAAAGCCTTGATCGAAGAGACCCACAGGGAAGGGAGAGCTCTCCGGAACAAAGCAAATGTAAGGCAAAATGACTAGGCATATGATGCTCTTCATTTCTTGTGGAAAGTGAGGCTGTTTTCCTTGGTTGCATACAGCTTGTGGAAAATGATGTTAAAAGTTATGGATACAAATGTAATGAATTTGGCTGATACAATGAGTTTGGATGATCCAACAGTTCTAATTACAGATCAGATGTATAATGTGGGGACAGTAATTTGAACTTAGGTCACAAAAGCAAGTATTTCGTGACATTTATGATTTTGATAGCAAATACCTGGGCAAATAGATGAATGAGGAAGATGCATGTGGTTTGGGCAAGGTGGGCACCGGACAGGGATCTGAGATGAGCAGCTTGCTGCTTTCTCCAGGTCCTTCTCACAGGTCTCCGTGAACCGTCATCCAGGAGGAAGCACTCCCTGAGCGCAGAGGAGCTAGAGGCCAGGAGGAAGAAGCGTCAGGAAGCAGCAGCAAAGAGAGCAAGGCTCATGGAGGAGAAGAAGAAGGCAAAAGCAGAAGCAGAACGCAGGAAAAAGTATGGTTTGTACTGTGCCTGCTGCCTGTCAGCTGGTGTCTGTTAATACTGTGCCCTGGAACTGGGTATCTGACTGATGAAAACAAGCCAGGCTCTGAGGCCAGTGAGGCTGGGAGAGGAAGAGAAGGTGACAAAATGGCTACAGGCCATGTTTGTGAGTATGTGCTCAAACCCCAAAATACAGGGATGCCAAGCGGGAGGAATGGCTTGGGCCTCCTAGCATGGTGCCTGCCTTCACACTCACATCTTTAATTCATAGAGGTTGGCATGAACAAGTACTCTATGACTAAACGTACACACAACTCTTATGAGAAGCTTTACCTCAAACTGTTGGCCTCTGTGTTGGTCTCACATCTGTGACTTTCTTCTTTTTCCTTGCTGCTTAATTTGTCTTTGCTTCCTTTCTAACTAACTCCTTAGCCTTGTCATGTATTCAGTCTTTCTGTATCTTCAGTCTGCTTTTCACCTCAGCTCATGCTGTTACTAGCACAGATAACAACTGTGGTCATCTTGGACCCTGTTTAAAATAGGGGAGAAGAGCAAACAGAATGCAGGTCTGAATCTGGAGTTTGAGATCTGTAACTCAAGACCTCATCTCCTGTGTCTCATTGCAATGATTTGGAACACAAGGTGAACCTTTCATTTTCAGAGATCATCTTTATCTTGTTTCAGGATGGCCTGGTGGGAGGCAAATCATTACACGTCTGCTTGCCTCCCTTCCGAGGAGAGTGATTCTGAAGAAGAGCTTGAGGAGGAGGATGCAGGGCTAAATGTGGATTTAGATTACAGAGACCCAGAGCTGGACTGTATCAAGTACGTCATGGGAGATGTCACTCGCCCCACAGCAGAAGAGGAGGATGTCATTATTGTCCACTGCCTAGGTAGGACTCAAAACAACAGGCACAATGTTGGGTGGGTAAAGGGGCTGAGTTATTCCTTTTAGCTCAATACCTTCTAATTCCACCTCCCTCCCTACTGAAATACACTGTCCTGAGTGCAGTGCGCCCTTGGGTAGCGCAGAGGCAGCACATACAACCCACCTAAGTGCTTGGAAGGGGTACGTGGGGATTTTCATGCCTTTTCATGTTTGCGGTCAACAAGTGCTCCCTGAGATGGGGGCCTTTTGTTCATCCTGCGTAAGCTGTGCGCACTGACCTGTGATACTGAAAAACAGCTCCCTTTTTTAATTAAAAAAGGCATTTTTTTCCCAATAGCTGAGGCTTATCCTCTATGATGGTCCTGTGAGTGCTGTTCAGCTTCTGTTCATGTATGGTTCCTATATCTGGTTTTGATACTCACTCATGGTGTTTGCCCGGAGGAGGTGCCTTGCCTGCAGTGGTCTTCAGGCCCAGTCTCTAGGAATCTAACTTGTCCTTTCACTCTAGATGACTCTGGCCGCTGGGGAAGGGGCGGTTTATTTACAGCTCTGGAGGCTCGTTCTGATCAGCCAAGGAAAATATATGAGATGGCAGGAAAGATGAAAGGTAAGTGATTAAAACATGACCCTAGGTCAAGATAGTTGAAAGAGCTTCATTCCTGTTGTTGCTGCAGTGGTGAGGTACCTGAATGCCTTGATGATGATGGTTTTTCTTATTTCTCTAGGGATTTGCATCCATAGCTCCGAAAGCAGGAATACAGAGTGTGCTTTAACTTAACTTGTTTGGAGGGTGAGAACTCTCTATGAGGGCTCATCACTCTGATCCATTCTGCAAGTCATTAAGAAAAGCCCTTGCCCATTACTCACAGGATGTTTGTTTTGTTATATAAGGCCGAGCTCCTGCATCTTCTGGCCAAGTCCTTTTAAGAAGGATGAAAGCCACCTCAGGCAGTATCCAGCTGGACCTTTGGTTGCTCCTAATGCTAATTTTCTCCTGAGCATGTTAAGAAATTTAATCTACATTAAACAGCCTGTGAAGAATACATATTTTTGCTGTAGATCTGTGGATGCATCTATTATTTCTCTGGTGGAGTTTTTCTTTTAACTTGTTTCAAAATCTATATTTCTCTTTGTGACCTCAAGATGATTTGTATGAAGGAAAGATTTGTAGAGAAGGAAAGCAGAATAGGGGCACAAAGAGATGATGGTGTCTTTTCTTTTCCCCTCACCAGAGAAAGTGACTGGTTGACTCCACTGAAATTATTACGAGTCAATAAAGACAGCCAAGAATTCAGAACATAAGAGTGCAATCACTGCTATGCTGATTCACTGTTGACTTTTCAGGGCTAATTTTTTGTTCTGTTCTTGTTTTCTGAACAGACTTGGAGCTAGGAGGAACACTGTTATTCCCCATTGATGACAAAACATCTAGGAAAAAAGGACAAGACTTGGTGAGAATGATAAAGGTTTATTTTCAGTTACTTTGCCTAGATGTTTCTGAAGCCTTATGAAATGAACATTGTTGTCTTAGGAGATTAAGTGCTCAATATGACATAGAAGGAGAGCTTTTCTAGCTTGCATAATGCATTTTTTAGCAGCTACCACTGTCTCCTAGCACTGTAGATAGACTTTTTTCTTTTCTTTTTTTTTTTCTTTTTCTCCTTAGTTGGCCTTGATTGTAGCACAGCACCGGGATAGGTCCAACAACTTGTCTGGCATTAAGCTACCTGCTTTGGAAAAGGGCCTGAAAAAGATCTATGTAGCAGCCAAGAGGAGGAATGGTAAGTGATTGTGCAAGAGACTAACGAATCCTGTACTCACATATATGACTCCATCTAAAGATTGCCAATTTCCAGGTTTCCTTCACTGTTTTTCCTGAAATGAAATAAGAGCAATTATCCATGGCAATAGCGTGTTGTGTTCCAAAATATTTCTTAGGTCCTTGTTGGGTGGCTTGAACTCCTTATCCAGACGGGTTTCCGTAAGTGTTTCATGTCCTCAAGAGTGTGTGTTGTCCCTTCCCTTTCAGCGAGCGTGCATCTTCCCCGCATTGGCTACGCGACCAAAGGCTTCAACTGGTACGGTACCGAGCGGCTCATCCAAAAGCATCTGTCAGCGCGGGGCATCCCCACTCTTATGTATCCTTTTGAAACATGTGCTGCTTGGTTCAAACTTTAACGCTGAAGTGGCCTTATAAAGCTCTTGGTGGATACAAGGAAAGGGAAGGGGCAGTTGCCACAGTACTCCAGTCCAGGTGAAAACTCCATTTATGTGACTCTGCTCTCATCCAAGTATTTCTTACGCTGTGAGGGCTCAGCATCTTAAGTGATAATGATACTGCAGCACAATTGAGTATGTCTGGCAGAGTTTATTGGGCCTGCACTCTAATTTTGTGTTGACAGCCATCAACTTACCTGTCAGTTCAAGTCTGTGGGGAAGACGGCTGAGTTTTCAGAATAACAAAAGTGTCTTAGAAAGTATTAAAATGAATCATATGAGAGGGAAGAAAAATACCCCAATGTTCTAAGCAAGCGATAACCTGCTTCCTTGGCTGAACATGATGGAGTTGGTGTTGGTACAGACTTGACATTGCTTTCACCTCCCAGGAGAAGAAATGAACATCAGTAGGGAGGCTCTGTTTTGGCACTTCTCTAGGAAGAAAAGCAGTCGCTAAATAGTTCCACTGCTCTAAGAAAATCAGAAACAAAGTAAGTAGTGAACAGAGCTTTCTGCCTCCTTGTTTGAGTCTGTTAGCAAACACATTGTCTAGCATTCTGCAGTGTTTCCTTGACACTTGTTATTAGATACTACTTCCCTAGGAATAAAGTTTTTTCCTCTGCTTCACAGCAATCTTCAGCTACAATGAGAGTCTCAAAGCCATGAAGACACAAGTTAAGTGTGAAGTATGTGCAGAAAGCCCCAGATCTTCTCAGCATCATGCAGGCATCCACTTTAGAAACATGGCATATGCAGCTGTTATTTGTTTCCGTATCTTTTTGCCTTTATTGTTCAAAACATTTATATATTGTCGGTGTCTTTGAAGATGTCCAGTTCCACTTTAGAGTTCAAAGAGTCTTTGGACAAGAATGTTGATTCAACCCTGAATCTCTTTTAGAGATGGAAAATTAAACCTTCACTGATGGTCAGTTGTTATATTTGCTGGGGCCAAGCAATTATTGACAGGGCTTAAAACATAGTATTGGTTTGACTTTTATTATTATTTTCTGCCCATCAGATTTCATCTTGTTTCACAATATACTTTTTTTTTAGATAGCTTTTTAGTGGTTACTTGGGCCTGTGTATCCATGCAGTTGTAAACATCTCTGTGGAAAGGACTGCGTTAAATACACAGCACGGCAGTGTTTTACCCACACAGTAAAAACAGTTTTAGCTCCCCAGAAATCCAATTGATTTATATGTGTTCAAATATAAAATTTAGACATACAGTCATGTGCTTACACTCCACCTCTATCCTTCTGACCAGAAGTCTTGACAAAGGCATGCAAGGATGCCAGTTTGAGTCCAACTTTATAAATGAAAATCTTTGCTCCGCTCATAACTGCTTTTTCACTACATAGTTCTTTGGCTGTAGCAGCTGTTGGGCAAAGGCAGTTCCTTGCTGCTGACCAAAAAGCTGGATGAAAAGTACTACGAGCCGTAAGTCAATGTAAAGAATACAGTGTTCAGCCTGTTGGCTTTGATCTGGGGTGCAATAGAATTTTCCTGTGAGTTATGATGTTGGCAGTTATCTTTAGTGTATAGGGTACAATCAGGTGGAAACATCTCTCCTAATAGGTGTTTCAGCCAGACAGACTGAGCTGTCAAAATTAATTCATTGATAAGTTCCATTTCCAAACGACAGTTCTCCACAAGCAATGAAAAGTGTGTCCATAAATATCTTAATTGCCCGCGCACGTCTCATTTGTCAAACTTGCACTGTCTCTGTAGCACCATCTGGTTACTTAAAAATATCAAACCTAATTCTGAGGTGGTTCATGACGCTGACTGGTTTACTAGAGGTCTTCCTGAGTTGGATGCTGCCTTTCAGTCTTTGCCAGAAGACCCTGAGCGGCTCTCATCCTTTTTGAAGCCTATACGAGCTGCTTCGTTCCTCTCTTGGAGAGACCTTTGTTGCAGCTTCTCACAGGACTAGCCCCTACGTGCGTGGCAAAGGGCTTGCAGGGTCAAAGCTTGACTACAGAGATTTCCTGGGACATAAACGTGTAGGTAGATGTTCATTACCTGCTTCTCCTCCTCACATGAACAGGAGCTCGCCAGCTGGCGGCACTGTTAGTCAGCTGCAGCAAGCACCCCCTGGTCTTCAGCCTCCCGTCAAAGATCAGGGCTGTGATCTCCAGTGTGGAAAAACACTCCGTTTGCTGGAATTAAAATACTGATGATGCCTTTTTCCGAACACTTAACGTGTAATATCAGCCTGAAGGCTCTGTTCTTCTGCCTCTTCCTTAAAAATATCCTTGAAAAATTTTCATTCCCAGCTGTTCCCAAATGCCCAGTCATGTTCCTCAGCCTCATCCGCACCTCTAGCCAGATCCCAATCCAGCTACTGTGCCATGGAAGGATTTGTCTCAAGGCAGGGACTCTCAGAACAGGGAGAAGTGGGTCTGGGTACTGATTCCACCACCTCTGTTGTCAGATATTCCTATGTGAGACCTCACGTTTGTGTCTCCTTTGAGAAGACAGGTCTCAGCCTCTGTCCTGTGACTCTCCCCACAAAACTGACTGCAGTTATGGAGCAGAGGGGATCGTGATTACCTGCCTGCTGATGCCCTTCATCCTCTAAGGGCAGGTACCCAGAGAAGGTCAGGCAAGGCAGTAGACTCCAGCCCTCCAGCTTTGCAGCGAGTCAGACAGGAGGAGTTCCGTTTTCACCTTCTAGTTCTTTGGGCCTTTAGAGATGAAATCTACCTTAATTTCCTCCCTTTAAATGTATTTTGGAGATGCTTATGGTTTTTTTTTTTTTGTACTACTTAAGTCCAAAGAGAAATCCAACTTCTAACTGCATCTGCTTTGAAATACAAGTGAGATTTCAACTGAGTAGTGAAGTGGGTTTTGCAGAATCTCAGCTACGTTAAGTTGTTTTCTATCATTTGCTGTCCATCACCGTTTCTTTTTATTTAGGCAGAAATCCTGCATTTCGGATGACTGGTTCTGTAAAGTTTATGTGAGTTGCTATACAAAACAAATGTGCCATGTTGTTTCTTCAGCTGTGCAGGACTACGCATTTTCCTTTTCTAAATAGCAATCACCCCAAAAGGGAAGGAAGGCTTTCTTTGGTAGTCCTATCCCTCTGGCCTCCCTCTTCCTCTAAAAAAAGATTTTCTGCGGAGTAAGTGCTGAAATCACACACAGAATCATAGAATGGTTGAGGTTGGAAGGGACCTCTGGAGATCATCTAGTCCAACATCCCTACTCCAGCAGGGACACCCAGAGCACGGGGCACAGGGCGGCATCCAGGTGGGTTTGGAAGATATCCAGAGAAGGAGACTCCACAGCCTCCCTGGGCAGCCTGTGCCAGGGCTCTGGCACCCTCACAAGTCCCCTTAGGGACTTGCAGACAGGTCTCCATTTGGAGATGGAACTTCCTGTGTTTCAGCTTAAACCATTGAGCCTTGTCCTGTCACTGGCCACCACTGAGAATGTGGTTTCTCATGTATGTCTGACCTAGTGCATTCACCTAAAGCTCAGCTATCTACTGCTAGATGGAAGCCAGTGGCACGGAGGGATCATGCACAGTTCACATGGACTAAACAAGCAAATTTGATTTGCAGGCCTCCAAAGGGGCATCCAGTTTCTCAGGTAGAAAGCAGTCTTCTCCAGTCTGTACTAGAGGCTCCAGCTGATGCACTACAGAAATGAGCAGTAATTCAGAAATTCAGAATAGCATTCATAACTCTGCTTCTGTTTCCTATTTGAGCTAAGGCGCTGCCTCCATTTCTCAAAGCCTTGTCTAGACGAATTTTCTTTTGATTGAGGAAAATCTGCAGTGCATAATTTCAGAATAATGATCTCTTCATCGTGCTTAGTGAGAAAATGGAGGAAGATATCAAGCTTTGGAGTCATGTACACATCTGTGATGTTTGTCATCAGGTAACTTACTGAGTGCTGTGTATTGATTGGGTTTTGTGGAAAGAAAGAGGAAGATGCGTTTGTAAGGTGATGCAGATGATCTGAAGCAACTTAAACCTCTATATTTTAACAGCAATACTGTATGCCTGTGTCTCCAAACAAGGCAGACTGTGGCCCACAAAAAAAAAAAAAAAAAAAAAAAAAAAAAAAAGGCACATGGATCTTATGCTCCCAGGGCTACAAAGAAAGCAAACAGAAAGAGAAGGCAATTGAGAACAGATGATCCCAGAAGGGAGGGCATAAAAGTTTGTTTAGCTAGTTTGCTTGGATAGTAGATTGGGCATGAACTATGATCAACAACTCAAAATGTCAGAAACTGATTCAAAGTACTGTGGGATTTGTTAGGAGAAGGGATAAGGTCTGGAAACAACCTTTCTAACAGAGCCAATATGACTTGTGTTCCACACAGATGTGACACAAGAGCCATCTCTCCCTGCCTTCTTGTGCAACTGATGCTTTTCACGGCAGAAAAAATACAAGCCTGTTCTATGCAGTAGCAGGATTAGTGGAATTACAGCATGAACATTTCTATTTAAAATAAAAAGATTTCTGTTAGTTCATACATTAGTTTAAATTCCATGCATGAAATTTTGTTTGTTTTAGGGTTTTTTGGTTGGTTTGGTTTTCCTTTTTTTTTTTTTTTTTTTTCTATGCTGGACTATACAATCTTTGCCTATTGGCCTTTGTTAGATGATACCACCCGCCAAGACCAACAGTCCAAGTGTGAGCGTGGCCTCTTCATCCTTCTCCTTTTGGGTGTCATCCTTGCTGCCCTTTATTCTGGGGGAAAGAAAAAACAAACAAACAAACAAAAAAGGAGCATGCCATAATGTAGCACCAATCTGTGTACTTGGTTGCACACCCCAGATCCTTCCTAAAACTTCCCTTGGCCTCTGTGCCATCAAAAATGGGTAAAGATGGAAACAGAAAGGAACTGAAGAGTGTCAGTGTCTCACATTACCTGAGGACAGCCTGCATCATACACAGTCTCCACTCATTTAACTTGAGCACACGGGAGAAGGTTGAGAAAAGGGCCATGAAGATGGTGAAGGAGTTGCAGCATCTGACATATAACAAGAGGCTGAGAGAACTGGGATTATTTAGTCTTGAGAAGCCACAGTTCAGAGTGGAATCTGTGTGAATATGCAATGTGCGTGAATACCTGACGGGAGGGATTAAAGAAGACTCGGTTATTGGTGATATTCAGTGGACGGTCAAGAGGCAATGGTTGCAAACTGAAACACAGGACCTCCATTAAAGCATGAAAAAAATATCCAAGAAAATAATTATCTTTGGAAAGATCTCCTTTTCCATGTTGAAGCTCTTTTCCCTTAGCCTCCTTAGCCAAGGCAGCATCTCCTACTTGTCTTCCCATTCTGCACATTATTATAAGTAATAATCTTGCTTATTACCCTGAATTGCATGTGGGGCCTGCATTAACTGCAGCTGGCTGCATTTTGTCACACTTGCCCCACCTCTGAGCACCGGAGGAGGGAGCGGAAAAGTCCTGTTGGGATAGGAAGCAGTTGGGAGCCATTAGCAGCTCGGCTTTCAGCGGGACGTCAAACGCTTTCCAGGGCAGGGCAATCGCCTGGAATGCAGCAGAGTACTCAGGCCCTGGGCAAGTTGAGACACGTGTTGGTGCATCATACGAAATGGAGCCTATCGTTCGAAACGGGCCTCTCCCAGCCACCTGGGAAGTATAGACATCACGATCTACCGGAGGAAATTTGACTGCCAAATCAGAGGGATGTGACAACATTTCTTCCCATTCCTGAATGTGTTTCACTGTGAAGTCATTGCATGGCTCTTCAAGTAGAGGATGAGTTATTACAAATAAAAGTGGGACATTATT